TTGCATGTAACCAATTTCAGGCTGTGAAGGATTTAATCCTATTCCACAAAAGTCATCTTTCCAGGAAACACAGCCATTGAGATATCAGCGTACAACTTCCATCTTTGTGACAACTCATCAGGTTTATTTGTTCAATTACCTTCTGGGAAGAAAAATTATTGTGTCCATTTTGGAATTTTCCGTGAAATGTGATTGAATGAAAGCACTCTCTCTTCTTCGTAGACTCTCCCCCTATCAGTAGGCCACCTATTAATAGTTGTAATATTCTATTCTTCTTTCTCAACTTGTTTGACACGGGGCAAATCCTTTCTAAAACTGGGCAAATGTAATAACATGGCTCCATTTAGCAAATGCTAAAAATGTTGCAACCCATGATATATGTTACTATAAAAATGAATTACACCTACAAATTCTTCTCTTTAGCAAGATAAAAAGCTCTTAGAATGTCCAATAGCTTAATACATTATTAAACTCATTCTCAAATATTTCCATAAATACATTTAAAAATCATTGCTTTGGAACCATGCAATGCAAATGAAAATGTTCAGGTCATCCGCATCACTCTCAACGTATTATCCTCAAACTGATTCCTCTTTTATTTTCCTTAGAAACATGTGTTTGAAGGCTTCATTGAATTTAATAACAACATTAGGGAATAACTGCCATTTTTGACAGTTACTGATTCTTCTAAATAGAATGAATTGGCTCAAAGCAGGTCTAGTTGATTTTCTAAGAAATTAAATATTCACTATGTCAGTGATTGAATTACCAAAAGGAAAACCAGGCTGCTGTTCTTACATACTGTTGTGAGTTACTTTTCAATGGTGACTTGAAAAAAATTAGATTTTTTTTTAAAGAAAATATTTTGAGGTTGTGATATTCTGGTTCTATAGCTTTAGATAATACACAACTTTAGTTCTCCTGAAAGTTTGTTTTTTTTTTTAGTTCTAACAAATTATTTTACAAAGTTTTTACAATTTAGATTTTAAAATAAAGAATTTCAGACAGTAAAATAAGTAGATTCAATTTTTATTTTTAGCTCAATTTGGTTGCAGTTGCTGCTTTTAAAAACATTGAGTGCTCTCCTGTTACATCTTCTTTAAAATACTTCTAAAATTAGAAGCAGATCTATATTTTCTTTGCGCTGCACTTGCTCTCTTTCCTGCCTCCTGCTCTTACTGGAATGTTTTGTTATCCCCAGTGATAATCAACAGCTGTGTTTTCTCACAGAACTTATTAGCAGCTGTGAAACGCTACTGTCCTACGTAGCAGCATTTGTTGATGACTGTTGAGATGTAATTGCTGTGATAATAAAATTACTTCACAGGCTTCAGCCAGTCTTCAGTCAACATTTACTGAAACCTACTGTTTACAAAGTACTGACTCTGCCACACTCACAAAACTTAATTTAACTAAGGATGCAAAATGTAGGTGCTAAATTACGTTTACTGTATATCAGTGGGGATAAATTAATGCCACATAAGCTAAGTATGTATGTCTGAAGTGTGGCCAAATAAAACATAAAATAATCCAAAGGAGGAAAATGATACTCCCATTTGGACCCGAAGGAAGGGAGTGGTGGTGAACAAAGGGCATCTAGTAGTTAATTAGCCTTGAGGAGGTGAGGTATGGAACATCAACAATGAGACGGGGCTATTATTATGAAGCAAACACACTCTAATGCTTTCTAGTCTCATACTTGCTAAACATCTGCAAAAAGGGAGAAGACACATTTCAGGAAATTGCTTTTGCATTAGAAAAACATCTTAAGTGAAATAGACTTACTGTAGCATGATTTCAAACTTGAAGGAGATTGAGATATGATGTAATAATACTAAAAAGTAGTAATAGCTAGAATCCACAACTTACATTATATTTAATAATAAAAGACTGAAAATATTTCCTCTAATATCAGGAACAAGGCAAGAATTCCTGCTTTCACCACTGCTATTTAATATAGTATTAGAAATTCTAACCTGAGATATTAGGCAAGAAAAATAAGTAAAAGGCATCCAAGTTGAAAAGCAAGAAGTAAAATTATCTCTATTCAGAGATGATGTAATTTTATATGTAGAAAATCCTGAAGATGCTATGCACAAAAAAACTGTTAGAACTAATGATTCAGCAAAATTACAGAATATAAAATCCACACACAAAATTATCTGCTTTGCTGAACACTAGTAATGAACAAATGAAAATTTAATTCAAAAACGAAATTAATTTTTGAATATAATTTAATTCTTAATTTCAATTCAAAAATGCAATTAAGTGAAGAATTCTATTTACATATACATAAAAAATAAAGTACTCAGAAATAAACTAACCAAGAAAGTGAAAGACACGTAGGATGAAACTTACAACACACTGTTGAAAGAAACTAAGGAAAACACAAATGGAAAGACAACTTTTGTTTATGGATTGAAAGCCAATATTGTTAACATGTCTATACCATACAAAGCAATCTACAGTTCAATGTGATCCCTATCAAACTCCCAATGACTTCATTTTCTTGCAAAAATAGAAAAAGTCATCTTAAAATTCATATGGAATCTCAACTGACCCCAAGTAATCAAAACAATGTTGTATTGGCATAAAGGCAGACATATAGACCAGTGAGAAAGAATAGAGATCCCAGACATAAACCCTCACATATAAAGTGAAATGATTTTCAACAAGAATGAAAGACCATTTAATGAAAAAAGGACAATTTTTCTCAACAAAGATGTTGGAAAAACTGGATATCTGCAGATGAAATAAGTTAAACTCTTACTTTATATTTACACAAAAATTAACCCAAAATGGATCAAATATCTAAACATAAGAACTTAAACTGTAAAAATCTTAGAAAGAACATAGAAGGAAAGCTTAAGAACACTAGATTTGGCAAAGATTTCTTGAATATGATACCAAAAGCACAATGAACAAAATAATAAAGAGATCAATTGGATTTTATCAAAATTTGAAAAATTTATTCATCAAAGAATACTATCAACAGAGTACAAAAGCATATCAAACTCAAATAGGCTAAAGAAAAATAAAACAGTGTAAAAGCAACCCAAGGCATGGAAGAAAATATTTGCAAATTATATACCTGATAAGATACAAATATGCAGAATATATGAACTTCTACAACTCAACAACAATCAAAAACTTTTTAAATGGGCAACTATCTTGAATGGAGAGTTCTCAAGAAAAGATATGTCAGTCAATAAACACATGAAAATATACTTAATGTCACTAGTCATCAGGGAAATGCAAATCAAAATTATAAGGAGACAGCAATTCATACCCATTAGAATGTCTACTATCAAAAAAAATAGACAGAAAACAAAAAGAATTAGTGAGGATGTAGAGAAATTGGTATCATTATGCACTGCTGGTGAGAATGAGAAATGGTACAGCCACTATATAAAAACCATATGGCAGCTAATCAAAAGATTAAAATTATAATTACCATATAGCTCAGAAATTCCAATTCTGGGTATGTGCCCCAAATCATTGAAAAGAGGGACTCAAATAGATATTTAAACACCCATATTAATAGCAGCATTGTTCACATTAAAAGATAGAAACAACCCAAATGTCCATCAACTAATGAATGGATAAACAAAATGTGGTATATAAATAACAATAGAATATCATTCATCCTTAAAAAGGAAGGGAATTCTGACACAAACTACAACATGTATAAACCTTGAAAATATTATGCTAAGTGAAATATACCATTTATCGAAAGATAAATGTATGATTTCATTTTTCTGAGGTACTCAGAGTAGTCGAATTCATAGAGATAAAAAGTAGAATGGTAGTTGCCAAGAGTGAAAGAAAAGGAAGAATGGGAGTTACCATTTAATGTACATGAAACTTCAGCTTGAGAAGATGAGAATAGTTCTGGAAATGGGCAGTGGTGATAGATGCCTAACAAAGTGAATGTACTTAAATTCACTGAACTCTATATTAAGGTGATAAAATGGTAAATTTAATGTATATAATTTTTACCACAATTAAAATGAATAAAATAATCAAAATGATAGTGGTATCTATGTGAGAAAGATGAAAAACATCAGAATTGTTTTGTCTTGATGAGAGCTATTGATTATCATCATCAAATAAAAGGGCTTTCTAAAGGGGATTTGACTAGACATTGCAAATGAAGAAGAAAAAAAAACATGAAATAACAGTGATTTGTTAGAAAAACTTTCACCTTGGCACTGAGTGTCAAATAAAAACCATAATAAAAAGAAAGCTGAAGAAAATTGGATTTAAGTGAATGGAGTGAAATTAGGGATCTGCACAGAACACAAACATGGAAAGGAAAGAGAAACTTGAAGAAAGGACACAGGGGACTTTAAGAAAGAGGGCTTGAATCCATACAACCATCCCACATTAGGTTTGTCTGAGTGCTAATTTTAAAAGTAGGCATTTAGGCATTGTTTATGATTTGAATAACCTTTATCCTTCAATGGTTGCTCAACATATTTTCCCACCAGAGGGGCAGTATATTATAATGGAAACATTAATGGCTAGAAATTGGAGCATGCAGAATCCAGGCTAGCTTATGTCATCAATGATTTGCTTTGGGGCAAATCAGTCGACCTCAGTATGTCTCAGTCTTCTTACTGATAAATAAAAATGTTGCACTACAGGAATTCTAGAACTTCTTGATTTCCTAGTTTGTGATATTATGTGGCTCTGGTACAGACAAGAGGCAGAGAAATACTGGGTAGCTCTTGAGGGTGGCTCCCCAGCAAAGACCCCACCCTCAAGCCTGGAAACCTGTGGCCCTAAATGGAACAGGCATTCCTGTGTTTGCACCCAAATGTTGTCTTTTGGCCTGCCACAAGAACCTAGGTACCAAAAGGGCACTTAGCTAGTTAACACTTAAGCCATATGTAGATGGCAGAGCTAAAAGAGCACTGTAACATACCTACTGGGGCTTTGGGAATTGCAAGCACCTACCCCTAGACACTACCAGAGGGCTGGAGTTCAAAAGTACTCACCCCAGCTCCTGCACTTGTCATTCTTTGTGCTTCCCTTCCTGTAAGGTGTTTGAGTGTGAGTGGTAGCAGAGCAGATGAGCCACACCCTTCTTGCATGTCATGAGGGAGGTTAAGGAACAATCTCGTTTCAGCTCCAAATCTCCTAAGGAGACAAAAATTGCATATCAACAATAAAAAGTAAAAAGTTTTCAATGTAAAAACTGGTACGGATGGTACTTTAATTGAAATTAACAGTATATAAAAGTAGTATAAACATCCAGAGGGTGTGTGATACAGTGTTCTCTTTTAGTTTTGCCATCCTCTGATGGCTTAAGTGTTTAATAACTCAGTGGAGGATCAGAGTGACAAACTTTTTACCTGCCCTCTTGGTATCTGAGCTCTTGTCTGGCAACCAGGAAAAATCAGACTACACAAATGAATTAAACAGTGGTGAATGTGGAGGATTTTATTTAATGGTACAAGTGGCTCTCAGTGGGATGGGGAGCTAGAAAGGGAATGGAAAGGGAAGGTAGTCTTCCCCTGGAGTTCAGCCATCCTTAACTAAACTCTTATCCAAAGTCCTGCCATCAAGCCATCCTTTTGAAGTCAAGCTGCTTCTTTCAATGCTCAGTAACTTCTTTTCTTCTCTCCTTCTCTGCCATTCTGCTGTTCTGCCAGTGAAGCTTGGGTTTTTATGAGTATAGGATGAGGAGTGGGGCAGGCCAAAAAGCAACAATGAATCAGGAAAACAGGAATGCATGTTCTCACTTTGTGCCATGGGTCCAGGCTTGAGAGTGGAGCTTCACCAGGGACCCCACCCTTCTCTGCCTAGTATTTCCCTGCCTTCTGTTCATATCATTACTCAGTCTGAGAAGAGCAAGAAGTTGTTTTGGAGGCACTCACATATGTGATGAGTTTTTCACAAGAAGACATTGTTAATCTGGGTAAATGGCAAGAAGGGTGCAGGCTGGGAAGTTCTAGGATAAAATAGCAACTTGAACAATGATATGGATATGATGATCCCATGTTACAAGGGATTTAGTGTCCTGGACCATAGTTACATATGCATGTGTGCACAATGAATCAAGACAAAAACATTTTTACTGTGTTTTGTGGTGAAAAGAGGATGAAAGCTGAGTGAAGATACTATTCAGAAGTATATGTAAAAAGTAGTATATATAAAAAATGACAAATAGCGGTATTGAGGATGAAAAAAATATATATTTGAAAACATTTTGGTAGTATTTGGTAAAATACTCCAGACTTGGTTATTCACTAAGAAGAGATCATAAAGAAAAGAAGAACTTAAGGAGATTTTCTACATTTCTCACTTTGGTGACTGAGTATGAACAGATGGCAGTGTGACTAACAAAGCTAGAGCATAAAAAAAGAACCAGCCAATTGGGAGAAAATAACAAATTGAAGAAAGACAAAGAAGAACTACCATTAACCCATTTCTTCAGTATGAATGCATGTGTTTGCTCCACCAATTACCCAATAGACAACCAGATGATATGAGAAATCATATTTGCAGAAGATGTGTGAAAAGACCTAAGAGAAGTAGAGTTCACTAGGCCCTCAACTTGCAAAATGCTCCTGAAAAAACTACACTCCCATGTTTTTACCTTCCTTTTCTCAAAGGAAAAACGTGTCTACTCTCTGGGGCCCCTGTTACAAATAAAATGAATGATAAACAGTTATAGCGAATATACTGAAAAATACTGAATACCGAAAACTAGGTCACAAGTTATGTGCGGAAGAAGAGAAACAGTCCCACAACAATTCTGCAGAATCTTGCACAATCTTCCACTTCCTTGAACAGTTACTGCAGGGACTGGCATATATTCCAGGCAATGCCTAAGGTGGACACTATACCTTCCTATCTTTAAGTCCTCTGACAAATAAGACATTTACTCCCATCTTTATATAAGTCTCTAGCAGGCACAATATACCATCACCTCCATCTCCACCTCCTTATTTTGCAAAAGTTAGGGTTTTCAAATGGCTGCACCACTAGGAATTACCAGATGTGAACATTGCCTTAGGAGCTGAAGGTCTCTGGAGACAATGCTGACTGCGCAGCTAGTATTTTTCTGGTTGGTAAAATCTAAGTCTCTTCTGATTTATATGATCCACTCAGAATGTGAGGCATTTCATCTTTTGCAATTTTGTTAATGCAGGGACACAAGTCTTTTATCAAATATCATTAAAATAAGAAAAATAGATAAATTGTCCCTTCTTCTCTAACTTCTGTTTATACAAAGCCAACATTTTTCACAAGACTGTGCTATGGACAATTGGGTAAGTATCATGTTAAAAATAATTTTTATCAGTTACAATAACCCACTGAAACTTGAACAATTTTCAAGGATTCAAATCTGCTATTATGATGAAATTTCAGTAATAGGGAAATTTCAGAATAATTTCTCACCTGTCTTAGTTCATTTATGCTGCTATAACAAAATACCACATACTGAGTAATTTATAAAGGACAGAAATTTATTTTTCATAATTCTGGAGGCTGGGAAGTCCAAGATCAGTTGTCTGGAGAGGACTACATTCTCTAGAGGGGAGGAATGCTGTGTCCTCCCATGGCAAAAGGTGGAAGGGCAAGAGATCAAATACTGTATGAAGCCTTTCATAAGGGCCTTAATCCTATTCAAGAGGGAGAAACTGTCATGGCCTAACAACTGTTTAAAGGCCCCACCTTTTAATGCTATAACATAAGCAACACCTAAACTTTGGAGGGTACATATTGAAACTGTATTATTCCATTTCTGGCCCTTCAAAATTCATGTCCTTCTCTTGTAAAAAATATATTCATTATATCCCAAAGCCTCAAATCTTAACCCATTCCAGCATGAAATTTAAAGTCTAAAGTCCAGGGTCTCACCTAGAAATCATCCTGAGGCAAATTACTTTCTGGCTATGAACCTGTGAAATCAAACAAGTTATGTAATTTCAAATACAGTGGTGTAATAGGCATTGGATAGGCATTCTCATTCCAAAAAAAAAAAAAAAAAAGAAAGAAAGAAAGAAAGAAAAAGGTAACAGGTTCTAAGTCTAAACCCCAACAGGGCAAAAATCATTAAATATCGTGGGTTGAGAATAATCTTCTTTGACTCCACGTCCCAACTTCCAGGAGTACTGGAAGGAGATTGGATCCCCAGGGATCTGAGGGACCCCACCCTCATGGCTTTGCTGGACACATTCCTTGCTGCTATTCTTGTGGGTTATAGTCAGGTGTCTGTGGTTCTCCCAGGCTAGTATTGCATGTAAAAGGCTCTACAGATCTGGAATCTCAGGAGCAGCCCTGCCTCATGACTCTAGTAAATACCACCCTAGTGGGAACTGTCTGTGGTGGTCTTCACCCCTTAGTTCTGCTGGGCTTGCCCTAGTGGAGACACTCTGTGGCAGCCCCACTCCTGCAGCAAGTCACTGCTGAGGCCTTGAGGCTGACTGAAATAGCCTGTGAAATCTATGTGGAAGTAAAGATGTGCCCACAGCTCTTACACTCTGCAAACCTGCAGAATTAGCACCAAGGGGACACTGCCAAGGTTTATGGCTTGTGCCTTCTGGATGAGCAGCCTAAACCACACATGCACTTTCTTGAACCACAACTGGGGCAGCTGAGGAGTGCTGCACCAAAATTTGGGAAATAGGAGCTTGAGACAGCTCTGGGTAATAAGCCTGGGGTCCTATATGTGCCCTGGGACTCTCCCACCTGCACTCAAAATTCATTCTGCCCTCAAGGTCCTGGCACTTTGGGCCTTTGATGGGAGTGTCAAGTGTCAGCCCTGAAGCTCTCTGAAATGTCCCTGGGGTCATGCGGTCATGCTTCCATTGTTTTCATGAATAGCATCTGGCTTCCTTTTTTTTTTTTCATCCATACCAATCTCCTTAAATGGTTGCTTGGCCACATTCTGGTTCTTTTTCTCCCCAACATGCTTTGCCTTTTCATTCTTTACATGACCAGGCTGATAATTTTCCAACTCTTTAAGTTCTGCTTCGCGTTTGGTTACAAATTACATCTTTAATTTGTTTCTCCCTTTATTTTACAATTATAGCCCATTCAAAGACACACTTCTGAACACTACCACTGGAAAATCACACATATACTGAAATGAGAGCATTCCCTGACCCCCCTGCAGGATGTGTGACAGAGGTGTGGCTCACCATGCATGCTCAAACCCCTCATGAGACAGGGAGCATGCAGACAGAAGGTGCAGGAACTGGGGTGAGTACCCCTGAGTTCTGGCCACACAGCAGCAACCAGGGGTGGAAGCCTGCGACTCCTGAAGCCCAGGTGGGTATGTGTTACAGTGCGCTCTTTTAACCTTGCCATCTGCAGATGGCTTAAGTGTTAACCAGTTCAGTGCGCTCTTGGTACCCAGGTCCTTGTCTGGTGTCCAGAGAGAATCAGGTCACACACAGACTTGAAGGATAACTGCGGGGGTCTTACTGAGAGATAGAAGGCTCTCAGCGGGATGGATGGGGAGCTGGAAAGAGGATGGAGTAAGAGGATGATCTTTTCCCGGACTTTGGCCATCCAGGGGCCAGTCACTTCTCCAACCTCCCCAGCTGAACTCCTCTCGGCATATTGACATTCCTTTTATTTTCTCTGCTGTGCCATTCTGCCATTTTTCTGTTCTTCTGTTCATCTCCTCATGGAGCCTGGAGTTTGGGGTTTTCACGGGTATAGGATAGAGGGGCATGTCAGGCCAAAAGGCAACTTTTGGGTGTGGAAACAGGAATGCCTGTTCTTATTTAAGATTGCAGGTTTCCAGGCTTGAGGGTGGGGCCTTTGTCGGGGACGGGATGCCTTCCACCCAGTATTTCCCTGTCTCCTGTTCGTATCAACACCACCTATAGGGAGACCACAAGTACATACCAAATTAAAGTAGAGATTTCTCTTTCTCTCTTCCTCATCTTCACTTCACTCAATAAAGAATACAAGCCTTAAAAAAAGAAAGAGAAAAAATATTTCTGAACCAAGCCATAGCTTCTCTATTCTGAGCCCTCTTAGTCATCTTCTCTGTCAGTAATTGCAAAGGTGTAGTTTAATTTTAATAACCAGAAGTCACCAGAGAGTTATAAAATTATTCAGCATATCAATACATACTAAAGGGGATTGGGACGTAATAGAAAAGAGTTGAAAGTAACGAGAGAAAAATCCTTTTTTTTTTAATTGAAAGAGACAGATGTTGTATCATAATTAAAAATACTACAACAGACACTGGAGCTAGACTGCCTGGGTTAAATCAGTTTGCAGCTTACAAACTGTGTGATCATGAACAAAGCATCTTGACATCTTAGTTTATGGAGCTAATACCTGTACCTACCTCATGGAGTTGGAAAGAGGATTATATAAGCTAATATATGTAAAGTAGGGGCATGAAGTCAGTACTATATAAGTATTAGCTACTGTACTGATGCCCATTAACCAGTTACATTTGACTAAGTTTGAGGTTCACATTCATACTTAATTAAATTGAATTATTTCATTTGTATTGATATATTATTCTCCATACATTGCTATAATTTTTGAAAAAGGAAAGTATCCCACAAACTATGAAACTTCTCACAAGTATTTATTGATTTTCCTTCCAATATATCTAATAAGTAACATTCTTATTGTACTAATTTTACTGAACTGCACTAATTAGAAATTATATGACAAGTTTCCATTATTTATCAAAACTAGTTTCATTTATCACAAATAGTTAAGTTTAATTTCTGCCATAAAAGCTTATCTTCCTCTCTAAAATATTGAAGCAAATTAAATCATAGCTAAAACTATCACATCATTTTTATTATAATAATATATAAATATATTTGCTATCTTGCTGTCAGATATATGCATATATGATTATATATGTTTGTATAAATACACATATACAAACTATGTATATACTTTTAAATCATACAACACTTACTGATTTACTGCTGCATATGAACAAATATCTTGGATTTAATAAAATGAAAATTTATGGCCAGAAGCAGTGGCTCACACCTGTAATCCCAGCACTTTGGGAGGCTGTGGCAGGCGGATCACTTGAGGGCAGAAGTTTGAGACCAGCCTGGCCAACATGGAAAGACCCTGTCTCTATAAAAAAAATACAAAAATTAGCCCTGGTGGTGAACACCTGTAATCCCAAGTACTCAGGAGGCTGAGGCATGAGAATCGTTTGAACCCGGAGGCAGAGGTTGTAGTGAGCTGAGATCACACTACTGCACATCAGCCTGGGTAACAGAGCAAGACTCTGTCTCAAAAAAAAAAAAAAAAAAAGAGAAAAGAAGGACAAAAAGAAAACTTACTTTTATTAATACTCTAAATGTTTTATGAGAGAATAAATAAAAGCTCATTCCTCATATATAATATTTAACGCTCCTTTTCCCTTTAACTGATTCCTTATTTGTTCTCAAAATATCTGCGGTCTCAACTAAAACGCAAAAGCAGAAGTTTGCTCTAAGTCAGAATGCAAGAGCAAACACAATGCAGAAAATCTATTATAGCACATTCCCTTCATATGCTTTACCAAACTATATGTTTAAACCTCAAATTTAGAAAACCAGGTTATGACTGATAGAAGGGCAGCCCAAATGACATGCTTTGGCATCTGTCAGGTTTTGGACATTAAACAACGACATGGTGGTGATACTCACACTACTCCATTCACTGTACGTTTAAAGGAAAGAGGACAATTTCAACAACCTTCAATTTATTTAGTTACAGAAAGTTTATTGAACTTCAGTTAACGTTAAGGCCTATTAACAGCAAGAAGAATTCAGATTTCTGCCACTGAGAATTGGGGAAGACTGGTGACATTAATAAGATCCAGATCCCCAGGCCAAACAACTGCGATCTTCCTTATCCACTGTCCCACAAAGTGAGTTTGTTAAAGATTTTCATCCCCTCTCAGTGGCTTTCCCTACACCCACCCCCCCATCTCTGATCTGCAACAGGGAAGGGGAAAGGGAAAATAAGTAGAAGCCACCAGAAATTACTGTTCTAATTTAGCATTAGCAGGAATTTGTAAACCACCACTAAGTAGATAAAGCTAAGAGCTACTAACTACAAACATAACCAAACAATAACCTCTGTGACTGTTTAATGGAGACCTTGATTAGAAACACAGAAACCAGGAGCCTTTACTGGAAACCAGGGAGCAATAATGTATTCAGAGAGAAAGGCTAATGGGGCCTGTACAGAAAATCAGCATTCTGGAAAGAAAAGAGTGGAAAAAGGGAGGTAATCAGGTATAGAAGGAGTTAGAATTAATACAGCAATTTGTCTTTGGCTGTAAAGTATTGACACTGGATTATTATTCTGAAGTTAATGAATTAACACACTGGAATAAAGAAATATAGTATTTAGAAACACTTGCCTACTTTAATTTTGCTGGATCATATATAGATACAGGTAGATTTCTGGATTTTGCTTTAAAATATAGTTTGTTGTTTAGAGCTGCATGAGTTACTGAAAATTTTTCAGGATATTGGATTTCATGTTGCATAGTCAGGTCATAGTAACATACTTTACATATTTATTCATTTCCAAAGGCTTGCCCATGCATTTAAAGAGCAAATTAGAGTGCACCTGGTAATAGCCTTAGAGGAAACTCCACAAGAATTACAGATATTATTTTCTACATCAGTAGTTACAAATTTTGTCCACTGACAAAAAATGTCCACAATAGTGTGGCTGAAGTGTCTCTTTCATTACCCAAACACAAGTGTTTCCTTATATTTAATTTTTTAGTCTCCAAAAATAGTTTTAGAAATTACTGTAGCACCTCACTCTTCCTAGTAATAATCAAGGTCAATGCTAAGGAAATTATCCATTTTATTGAGCCAATATTCTATATTATGTTGTCCAACAGAGTAGTCACTAGCTATGTGCTATTCAAATTTAAGTTAATTTTTTAAATAAAATAAAAAATTCAGTTCTTCAGTTGAACTAGCCATATTTCAAGTCTTTGGAGAAAACCAAATGTGTCTAGTGGCTACTGTTTTGGAACATGCAGACATAGAGCATTTTCATCATTGCAAAAAGTTATATTGGACAGTGCTGTATAGTGAGTCTAAACAGTTCAGACAATTATATTTGCAGAAATGAAAAATTATAATAAATACAGAAAACACATTTCTTGTTTTTGTCATTATTTCCAAAATTTTTTCAAATGGTAAATATTTCTAAAAGAGTATATTTTCCATACTAAAATTGTATACCATGTCTTACTTATCTCTGCAGCTTCTCCATTTTATGTGTTTATTGCCCAAAAAGTAAAATTTAAAGTAATTAATTCATGTAAAATAACAAATCCAATAAAGGTTTAAAATACCCTTTACTTTCAAAGATGCAACAAAATTTAAGACTTTGTAGCCAGGTTATTCTAAATTATAATGTTTTCAAAATTATCAGAATAAATGAGACTAGACCTAAATATGACATGCATATAAAAACAGAAGCAGCTGTTCATTAGTCCAGGATTGATATTATGGAAATACTAAATATTCACTGAATCATTGATTTGAGTACTTCAATGCTTTTTATAAAAAAGAAATCAGTGCTAAATTGTATTAAATATTTCAAAATATTAATTCTTACAATATATTTTTACACAAAAGCCAAATATAAACTACTTAATCTGATCACCAAGAATTAAGAGGTTTTAATATTACTGAAAATAGCATCAGCAGTGGTATTGGGACCCCAGAATCTCATGAATGATATAAGTACAACTTTTAATTGTCAAAAGGCCATTGGATTTGATTTTCCTTTTAAGATACTGACTTGCTAAAAAAATGGAAATAAAATTATGTATGCATGTATGCATATACACATATAAATATAATCAGAGTTTTCACAAACACTCTGGAAAGAAAACATTCTGTCTTTAAACATGTATGGTGACATTTTAAGCAAAGTTTAGCCTAAATGTATGAGGAGTTCATCTGATGCCTGTAACTTAGCACCTTTGTACTGTGGTAGTGGAAAGGTATGGATCAGTTAGTGGTTTCAGATGTCAGACTTTAATGAACTAGGATGGGTTTCCTTAGCATGACATCAGTTTATCTAGTTTATTAGCTTTGTAGTTAAAAATTTTATTATTCTTTCGTGTCTTTAAGCATTTTCATGACATTCCTTCCTTTTGAAAAATGTTCCATTTGTTGTGTTATATAGGAAATAGTCCATTAAATAACACCTTAATTGCTAGAATTAGCTTATTCAATTATGATTCAGTTTCTTTTAAATGTATTTCTTTAAGGAAACTAAAGGACCCAATTATGCAGGCTTATGTCAGTTTTCATTAGAAGGTCTCAGCAACTGAATTTTATGAATATCAGTACTTTATGGCACTCAACTAACTGATGAGGGGAAGGGACTATGCATTTCAAGTAACTTTAAATCTGAAATGATTTTTGTATTTCTTATAATATGTATTCTCATTAACTGTATAGTATTTTTTCAAATAGTTGTTTTTAAAATTATCAATTAGTTATACTTTGGGCAACTAAAATAGTAAAAATTTTAATAACATGATCTCTGGATCCATATGCATGGTCAGGCTACATAAATTATCTGCCAGTTATACAGCAGTCTTGTGAGAAATCTCAGACTCATGGGCGTGCTAGCATGCTCATAACCCATCTGATGTGTTTGTTATGCCTGAATTGCTTTTTCTAAAAAGTTCTTTTCTTAGATTTACCATGTGTGGTCTGCCTGGACTACGGCTAATTGAAATAGACATGGGAAATAAGTCAAAGCAACCATCCTGCAGGGAGAGTATGAGGGAGACTCTGACCAATGTGTCTATCTACTCTGGGGCGACCAGCCAAACCTGTTACAACCTCTTTTTCCCCACTTAAGAGAGAGAAAGAGAAAAAAAGATAAGTTAGCTGGCAATTGACTAAACTGGTTGAATAAAGGTAGAGAAGTGGCTCAATGCTTTTGCA